GGTTGTTGATGGTGATGGTGCCCGAGAAGGCGGCGGCCGGGCCGGCCGCGGGCTGCTCGCGGGGCCGGGCGGGCGCGCGGGAGGCCGGGCTCGCGCCGCCCCGCGCCTCCCCGCCGCCAACCTCGTCCTTGATTGCGGCCGCCGCCGCCGCCTCTCCGGGCCTGGGCTTGGCGGCCCCCGCGCCGGCCTCCGCCTCGGCTCCCCGCCCCAAGTTGAACACCACCAGGAAGGAGTCGCCTCCGCCGCCGGCGGCCTCGGGCGCCAGAAGCGGGGGCTGCGGGGAGGAGGCCGGGGGGGCCGCGTCGCCCGCCGGGCCGGGCGGCGGCGGCTTCTCGTCCAGCAGCAGCAGCGGGAGGCTCAGGTCGGCGGCGGCGGCGGAGGCGGCCTCGGCCTCCCCCGGCGGCGGCGGCTTCTCTCGCCGCAGCAGCGGCCCGCCATCTTCGGGGCCCCGGAGGAGCAGGCGGCGTCGCGCGGGGGCCGAGGCGGCCGGCGGGCGGGGCCCTCCGCAGGCTCGGGAGGCCGCGGGCGGCGGCGGAGGCGGAGGTGGCCGGGGACAGGCGGCGCCGCCGCCGCCATGTTGGTTCCTGCGCGGGGTCTGGGCCGCGAGCAGCCCCTGGATTTCCATCTTGGGTGCCCCTGTAGCAGCGGCTGAAACAGGAGACGCGGGAGGAGGCGCGACCCCGCCCTGCGCGCCGCCGCCGCGGCCCCAGCGCCGAGCGCGCCCCCGACGGGCTGTCGGGCCGGGCGAGCGGCAAAACCCGGAGCGGAGTAAGTGATGCGGAGCGGGGCGCCTCGGCGAGGGGGTGGGGTGGGGGGGGTGGGAGGGGGCCGGCAGGCGCGCCCGAGGATGGCTCACCTTCGTGTGGGGACCGCCGAGCCCTGCTTACCGCGAGCTGCCCAAGTCCTCGCCCGAGGGCCGGGGCCGTGCAAGGGGGAGCATCGCCGTTTCGAAGACCGGGAAACTGAGGCCCGGGGCCCAGTGGGAATGACTCGAGTTGAAGTTTGGCGCTCAGTCCCTTGGCTGCAATATTAGTGCTCCTACAATAAAATCATTATTGCATCCATTCACAGATGAAGGAACAGAGGCACAGAGGAGAGGGTAAAGACACTTGCCCATAGTCACAGGGATGATAAAGGGCAGAGTCAGAAACCTGAAAACCCACCTCTGCACACTCTCAAGGGTAGACGATACTGCCTCAGTTTTACAGCTGAGGAAACTGAGGCTCAGACGGTGAGGTCGCTTAGCCAGTTAAGTGTTAGAACTAGTCTTTGAGTCCAGGTTTCGTCGTGCCAAGACTAGCTCCCAGGACAATTCACTGCACGGATTTTTATCCCCATTTTACGTACGAGGAAGGATTTAAAACCGGAAGGAACCATGGAGCTAATCTAGTTCAACCTCTTTATTTTACGTTGGTGAAAACAGTGTATAAAAATCATAGTAATAACTGCCATGAAACTTTAAGGTCTACGAAGCACTTTGCTTACAAGGAATGGCCTCCTACCTCGATAATGCAAGCATTTCATCATTTGAGAGATAAGGAAATTAAGATTTAGAACATGGAAACTGAGGGCCTGCACCTAGTTAATGGCAGAGCCCAGGTTCTTCATGGGGTCTCCCGTGATTATTCCGCTATATTATCACTCTGCTCTTCAAGCTAGTATATCAACAAAGATAAACTAGGCAAAGGGAGAGATCATTCATTTTACCACACACACACAAAATTATTTACAGAAATGTTTACAACTGTACTCATTTTCCCCCCAGTTTTATTTTTATGTTTTGGTTTTTCACATTACAAAATATTTACAGATTACTCCCATTTTGTGAGAAGTCTCTTGTAATAAAAACAGCTAAGTAAAATTAATAATACAGTGAAATTTACACAAAGTTCATGCAGCATTTCACATCTATAGTAACCACACACATGCTTCTCTATTTTTAAAAATAAATAGAATCTATTTTTTTCTCTCTCCCGTCCTCTCCATTGAGGGAGAAAAAAATCTTATAACAAATATGCATAGTTAGGCAAAACAAATCCTCCATTGGTGTTACCCAAAAAATGTCTCCTGCAACATAAACCTATCATCTTGGTAATGGATAGAAAGTTTGAGCATCCTCTGTCTTCTAGAAACAATGAGGTTATTACATTGATCATATCTTACAACTCTCAAAGTTGGGTGGTTTTTTTTTAACACAGTGTTGTATAAATTAGTTCTGCTTATTTCTTTCTTCAGTTTATAAAAGTCCCTGAAATTATTCATATTTGTAATATTTATATTATAGTATGAATTGTTTTATTTCTAATTTCAATCTGTCAATTCACAGAAGTCATTCCATATCTTTTTGAAATCATCTATTTCTTCATTTCAGCAGGTACAGAAATAATCACAGCAGCATTAGTTTTAACATCAAGCTCTCCCTCTACACAGACCAAAAAAAAAGAGTAATAAACTTACAATGTTGCCATTTTACAAGTGAGGGAACTGAGGCCTGATACATGATAGAGTCATAGCCGGTTAAGTTCCACTTGACAGTTATTTGGTACCCACTTTGTGCAGAGCAGTAGGTCAGGCACAAATAAATCGGGCAAGTTGCTTAACCTTTGTTTGCCTCACTTTATTCATCTGTAAAATGGGGATAATAATAGCACCTACTCCCCAGGGTTGTTGTGAGCATCAAGTGAGATAATTGCGAATCTCTTAGCACAGCACGTGGCGCATAGTAAGTGCTAGGTAAATATTAACTATCATCATTATTATTAACAAGCATTTATTAAATGCCTCTGTGTTACAGCAGTACTTCTATGTGTTGTACTCACTATTGCAGACTAAAACTAAGCAGCATCTACAAACAGCTACACAGAGCATCAGTTAAGGGCTACTTACTTAGTACCAGGCACTATGTTAAGCATCAATGATACAAATACAAGCAAATGACAGAGTCTGCCCTCGGGGAGCTGCTATTCTAATGGAGAAACACAATACACAAAGAGGACCTAGAAAGTAAAAGGGAGATTACGTCCTAGAAGTTGCAAGGAAGCCCAGGCCCTACAAGATAAGGCCAAGGGGTCAACTGTGAGAGCTGGAGGGGTGGGAGTGGGGATGGGAACTGGACGGATGGAGTCTCTGGTTGGAAGGAAGGTGGGGGCTATGGTCAGGGAGCTTTACTGAAGGGTAGGTAACATTTGTATATGTGGAAAATAAGGTAAATTAAAGAAGAAAGCACCAACAAGTAGGGGGATTGGGAAGGACTTCAGTGAGGAGGTAATGCCTCCTTTTGAACCTTGAAGAAAGGTGAGCTGGGAGAGGTAGAAATAGAGGCTGTGCATGCCTGGCCTGGGGACCTGCCTGTGTAAATGCTCAGAGATGGGAGATGGAGTGTCAAGTTCTGGAAACAGCTTTGGCTAAAACTTAAAAGTTCCTAAAAGGGAGTAAAGTGCAAATAGACTGGAAAGCTAAAAACCAGATAGGTTATAAAGGGCCTTCCTTAAAGGCAAGGCTGAATAGTGTGTCTGTTCGCCAGAGGCAGTGGGGGGCCACTGGGGACTTGGGACATGTACCTTAGCAAGATTGGTCAGGCAGCCGGTGGAGAATAGATGAGAGAGAGAAGAGGCTAAAACCAGGAAGACGAGTTAGATTATTAATATGGTCTAAGCAAGAGGAGGTGAGGCTCAGAACTTAGGGAGTAGCCGGAAGGGGGGTGGATCCAAGGACGAGTCAAAGATGACTCCCAGGTGAAGCACGCTGGGAAGCCAGTGGGGAAAGCAAGGGGAGGAGGAGAGGCAGGATTGAGAAGTGAATGCCAGGAGCCCGACACATAGCAGGGGCGTCGTAAATGCATGTTAACTTACTGGCTAGCAGGGGCTTTGTTAATGTTTGCCTCAGTTTCCTTGTCTGTGAAATGAAAGGCTTGTAAGACATATCCTTTCAGATCACTTACAGCTCTAAATCTGTTTAATGCCTTGCTACTAATCTGTCTTCTAAAACTATAAGCAAGTTCTTCTTGGACCTTGGTATCCCCCTCTGTGAAGCCAGAAGGTTGGACTAGATGATCCAAAACCCTTCTTTACTAGATAAATCTAACCACAAAATAAACAAGAAAGAAGTTAAGGAGATGTATGGAATTTTAGAAAAGTTAGATATGGTTGTCCTCTAGAGAGAATCAAATGGGGATAGAAAAGAATATACCTTTTTTCTTGGAGGTACAGGGCACCTACACAAAAACTGACCACATCTTAGGGTATAAAAACCTCACAATCCAATGCAGAAAGGCAGAAATATTAAATGCATCGTTCTCAGACCATGATGCAATAAAAATTGCATGTAATAAAGGGCTGTGGAAAGATAAACTAAAAATTAATTGGAAACTAAATAATCTAATCCTAAAGAATGAGTGGGTCAAACAAGAAATCATAGAAACAGTAACTTCATCCAAGACGATGACAATAATGAGACAACATACCAAAACTTATGGGATGCAGCAAAAGCAGTCCTTAGGGGAAATTTTATATCTCTAAATGCTTACATGGATAAAATAGAGAAAGAAGAGCTCAATGAATTGGGCATGCAACTAAAAAAACTAGAAAAAGAACAAATTAAAAATACCAAATTAAATACCAAACTAGAAATTCTGAAAACCAAAGGAGAGATTAATAAAATTGAAATTAAGAAAACCATTGAACTAATAAGTAAAACTAAGCCGGTTTTATGAAAAAAGAAAAACCAAAACAATAAAATAGATAAACCTGTGGTTAATTTGATTAAAAAAGAAAGAAGGAAGGAAGAAAACAAAGCTCTTCTCTCTCCTGTGCAGTTACATTGAATGTCCAGAGTGAATATCCGGAGACCATACAGGATTCCTCATTAGCAGAGAGAGTGATAGTCACTGGACTCTGCTTAGTGTTACTAAGGCAAAGTGTTAACAGTAACTAGTTACTTAGTTTTACTAAGTTGTTACTAAGTGTTTACTTAGTTTACTAAATGTTACTAAGGCATAGAAATGGATTTAGGCATTTAAGTTCTAACAAGGCAAGATGAAGCAAATAGGTGTTTATAGTTAACCCTAAGGTAACCACAGAATTAAATTAAGTAAATTAAATTACTCTCATTCCCCAAGTATTCTGATTGAAGGTTTTTCTACTTGAAAAAAGATTGAAGGTAGAGGAGGGATGACAGTCAATGGCGTTTGGGAAGGTAAGCCTGTTATACTACTGCCTTATGACGTCTTTTAGTGGGGTGTCTAGGAGAAAGCCTACTTCCCCAAAGTATATGTGTATCTCGGTGTGGCTGCCTTGGAAGCAGGGACAGTCATAATGTAAAGGAATTTTTTGATCATGTCGATTTCTTAAGGAGAAAGAATCCTTTGTTACCTCTGGAATAAAATACAAACTATTCAGATTGGCCTTTAGAGCTCTCCATAATTTGGTTCCAACTTGCTTTTAAAATCTTATTTCATATCAGCCCCCTTTACGTGCTCCACATTCCAGCTGAAATGGAACTCACCATTTGATCTCCCATCACTGGGGGACCACATGCCTGGAATATTCTGCCTTCTTATCTTTGCCTCTTTATCTTCCCTTAAAGTTCAGCTCAGGTACCACCAGATCCCTTCTCTTGTTAGGGCACTCTCCCTTCTCAAATTACCTAGTTTTAGTTTAATTGTAAATGTAGCACGAATGTAGCTCCCTGAGGGCAGGGACTGTCTTTCTCTTGCCCTAGTTTCCCCAGACTAGTAAAGTGCCCTTGCACAGAATAAAAATATTAATGTTTATTAAGAGCCTTCTACTTGCAGGGGCAGTGTGGTAGGCCACACTGAGCTGTACACATGCTTACTTTTGGGAAGTGGGTTTTCACCACAGTCCCACTAAAATTACATGTCACAAAACAGGGAAGGCAGCAGTCCTCTCTTGTTGTGCCCTTCTGGAAGCCCTTAGGATCCTT